AGTTCATGAACCAGGAAGTCAGCAGACGGACTGGCCTGGCAGCCATAAACTCAACCATCAAGTGTATTTGGATATGCTGGTACCTGTGCAGAAGGACCAAGCTATGTGTCTTCAAAGACCTGATACTACCAGTTTTACTTTATGGAAATGAAACCAGGGTTCCATCATTGCCTTCGAATCACATCTTGATATCTTTTGTAACGGATCCTTATGCTGGACCACAGAGTACATTTGGCAGGACCATGTGTTACACCAAGGTATCTTTGCACAGCTATAACAGAGCCAATTATGTAACCATGTTTAGACAATGAGAGTGTGGCATAAGATATCAGATATAGCTAGATACATAATTATTTGTATGATTTACTTGTTTTTGTTCTACTTACCGGAAGTAAAACCAAAATTCCCCCTTTTTTATAGGATAACGATTTCATTACCATTCAGAATACTTTTGGAAAAAAGTCAGTTTCATTTTTAGGTTCAGTAGGCTATATGGAAGTGGAACTACTTGAATATATGTACTTTGGGTCACACCGCGAGACCGGCATAGAACCTTTCACTTACATAATCCAGGACGGCTAATGGGGCAACTTTTCCCTGTGGATAACCCTGCCCATCAAGTTGTCTGTTCCCAAAACATCCTTGGATGGAAGAGGCCCGTGGGACGACCTAGGATGTTATGGTTCGAGCAGATTGATCAGATTGTCGCAAGAAGCTGCTTGGGCCTGCTTGGCAGCTCGCCATGAGAGACCCTCGTGGCGGGAAGCTATGCGCCCCCTTCGGCGTGACCCCTGTGATTGACTGCACATGAATATGTTCATACACACTTAAGCTATATGTTCTGATCGTGATTCTCATTAACGTTTGGAATTATCATGTTATTATTGTCATTATTTTTATCATTGTCATTACTGGCCTTGTGTTTATGCTGCTGTTGTTACTATTATTATTAGTGTTATTGTTATTATTATTATTGTTATTATCATTATCATTATTATCATTATCATCATTATTATCATCATCATCATTGTCATTTTCTTCTTCTTATTATTATTATCGCTCTTTTTGTTATATCTGTTATAATTATTATCATTATTGTTACTATTGATATGGTCATCATAGCCATCATTACTGACATTCCTCTTATCACCCTGCTTATCCTCCTCCTGATCATCACGAGCGTCATCATCTCCCTTTTCCTCTCTGTCTCTCTTTCGCCGCAGAACAAACAGATCGTCTCCATCAAGTCAAAAGATGGAATTGCAGTTCCAAGAAAGACGGAAGAAGAATCGTGTCATGGTGGCTAATTTATTGAAAACGAAATGGAATACATACAAGACTTTTGGATTTGTCTTTTCATCTCTCTTGTTGTTATCATTGTTGGTTTCACTAGATCTTGTTTATCAAGCTGTTGCTCAGTGAACTCCTCGTCCTCCAGCTTCTTTTCCTTCTTCAACTGCCTTAGCGACTCCTCCTCCTTGACGCCCTTTAACCCGACGAAGACGACGCAGCCGCAGCCGACGACGAGGATCCTCCATGCCCTCCGGAGGATGATGAAGACGCTGCCGCCGAGGAGGACGATCCTCCCAAGCCCGCAGCCGCCACCGCCGCAGCCGCAGATGACCCCTGAGGCGACCTCTCGGCCCTCCAGAGGACGGCGGCGCGCGCTTCGGCGGGAGAAGACGCCAGCAGGAGGGTCGTCATCCTACGGGGGAGGAGGGGGTGAGCAGGGGCAGCCGTGGAGGGTGGGGAGGGTGGGGGAGGGGCAAGGGCAAGGAGGAGGGAGACGGGGAGGAGAAAGAGTGGGAGGGAAGGAAGGAGGGGAGGAGGAAGGAGGGGAGGAGGAAGGAGGGGAGGAGGAGAGGGGGAAAGGAGGAGGAGGAGGAGGAGGAGGAGGGGGAGGAAGATGAGGACGAAAATAAGGATGAGGATGAGGGGGAAGTCGAGGAACAGGAGTAGGAGAACGAGGGTGAGAGGAGGGAGAGTAAATGGAAATGGAGAAAGATGAATGTGAGATGCTTAAAGGGGAGGAAGGAGGTAAGAAAGAGAATGGGGAGAAAAAAAGAGGAGGTACTAAAGGAAGAAGAAAAAGGATGCAAGATGAAAGGACAACCGAGCACAGGAAAAGGAAATACGAAACTCGAAAGATAAATCGATTTGGAATAAAATAAAGACTAGAAAACCCACAGATTAAAGCGAAAAACAAAGACAATGGACAAGAAGTACACACAAGCAATCACGATCCCACACCAGCAACAACATCAACAAACGCGACCTTTACTCACACGAGGAGAGCGAGGAAGGAGGACCTGTTCATGACGCTGGCGAAGGGGCGCTGCTCGGTCAGGCACAAGGGGAGCTGCGGCTGCTAGCGGTCTGCAAGTGCTTTTATACAGCTCGGTGCATGGCAGAGCAGGAGGGGGGAGGGAGGGGGTAGAAGAGCAAAGGACAACGGGGGGAGAGTAGGAAAATTGGAAGTGGGGGGAGAATGGGAATGAAGGGGGGGAGGGGGAGGGGGGAGGGAGGAGACAGTAGGAGGAGGGGGGGGGGTGAAGGGAGAAGACCAGTGACGAAGGGGTGAGGGGAAGGGGGTTATGGTGAGGGGGTGAAAAGGTTCCTGGAGTCCTGAGGTTCGCAGACACGTATACATATAAGTATATATGTATCTGCGTGTGTGAGGGTATATGTAACTATATCTGTACCTATATATTTTTCTATCTTTCTTTCTATCTATCTGTCCATCTACCTACCTACCTACCTAGCTAGCTACCTGTGTCTCTATCCATCTATCAGTCTATTTATCTATTTATCTATGTAACTATGTTTATAAAAGTGTAACAGCAACACTGATAAAGCAACAGCAGCATGTTACGCTAACACCAAAGTCAGCAACTTAATAATGATAGTCATAAGAATAGTGACAATGATAATAACATTCACCACTATAACGATAGAAAAATATGGTAATAATGATACTGATCATGATGATAATGATATCACAATAATGATATACATATTAATGATAATGATAATAATGATGATAATAGTAATAGCATGCTTAAACTACTACTGCTGCTACTACCACTACTTTTTTCAATAGTATCAATAATAATAAGGAGGAGGAGGATAATAATAAAAATGATGATGATGATAATAATGATAATAATAATAATGATAGAAATAAAGAAATGATAATGATAAAAATAATAATAATAAAAATAAAAGCGAATAATGATGATAATGATAATGATGAAAATGATGATGACGATAATAGTGATAATAGCAATAGTAATAGTAATAAGGATAATAATATTGATAATAATATAATAATAAATAATAATAAAATAAAATCCACACAGGGTAGAAGAAATATTCCCCTTTATTAAGTAATACCAAACAGGTGAGCAATAATGCAGAACTTAACTTAGATGAGGGTTAAAAAAAAGGGCTGCCGATCCATTCGTCTGCTCTTCCGCAACTCACAATTTCATCATCGGCACCTGCTTTGAAAGAATTTAGTGTCCGAAGAGCACTTTGAGCGTCACAGAAACTATTCCAGAGCCCCGAGACATTAAGAATGCAAGGAGTATACCTACCAACTCCGTTTGTGTAGTGCTGGCCCAATTTTGCACTTTCATGTTAACTTGATGTTGTAGTAAGCTATTTTTGTATATAGCACAAGTACAACCAGCTTTGTATCCAGACTGTACGGATCCGTCAACGTATACATCATCGCCCATAGATTCTGTGTGTTCCTTTATCGTTGTTAACGCAGTTTGTTTTAACACGGAATTAAGTACACTGTTTTTTTGTGGTAGACATGTAAGGTGGAATGGATCGACCCTCTAGTATTTTACTAATTGGGACATTGAGCTTTGTAATGTTCAAGGAGATTTTGTGTATCAGAGGGCGCGTGTGTGTGGAAACCTGAAAGATACACAAATTCCCTCAGACATTTGACCCTAAATAACCGCCATAGCTGGTCCCAAGCCCAGGTTGAGAAAGGAGGAGGGTTGCTGTCAGGCCTCGTAAGCCGAGCGTAAAAATACCCTACGAAGAACATGGATCGAAACCACGTACTGCTAGCCTCGGAAAATGCTAGGGCGTCCCCTGTATGCGACGCGCACCATCAGCCGCGGGACGGTGTGAAAAATATTAAACGGGTACCGTCGGCCCAGCGACGACGGTTAAAGAAGCGAGTTGGAGAGTGGAGATGTGCCACTTGGAACATCGGCACAATGACTGGAAGAAGCAGGGAGATAGCAGAGACCATGAAGCAGAGAAAAGTGAAAATACTCTGTGTGCAAGAAGTAAGGTGGAGGGACGGCGGAGTAAGGGAAATCGGAGAAGGTTATAAGCTGTACTACTCCGGAAGCAGAACGGGAAGAAACGGTGTGGGTATCATCCTCGATGAAGAGCTCAAGCAAAGGGTGGCGGAAGTCCAAAGGCCCTCAGACAGGTTGATGACAATTAAGGTGCTAGCAGCAAAGAGTCTGATCAACATCATGAGTGGTTACGCTCCACAGATTGGCTGTGAAGATCAAGAGAAGGAAGAGTTCAGAGAACAACTTGAACAGAGTGTTAGAGAGATCCCTGAGAAAGAAGAAATCATCCTAGGAACTGATCAGAACTGTCATGTAGGAAAAACAGCAAGAGGTTATGAAGCATGTCATGGCGGTTTTGGATATGGCCTGAGAAACGAGGAAGGAGAGAAAATGCTAGAGACATTGGAGAGCTTGGAACTGGTCTTGGTAAACACCGGATTCAAGAAGAGAGATGAACATCTAACAACATACCGAAGTGGAGATAGCAGTTCCCAGATCGACTTCCTAGTGGTGAGAGATGCAAAAGTGATTCCCGGTGAGGCAGTTGCTCACCAGCACAGACTGCTGGTCATGGATGGGACATCCTCTAAGAAAAGGAAAGGAGAAACAACAGGAAAGAAGCTGCAGAAGATCAAGGTGTGGAAACTACGGGAATGTACTGGAGAATACAGAAGGCAAGTGGGAGAGAGACTGAGGAGAGCGAAGAGAGAGACAGCAACTGAAATGTGGAAGGCCTTGAAGGAAGCAACGGTGGAAGTGGCAGAAAAGCTGTGTGGAAGAACAAGTGGGAGAGGAGCAGGAGAACGAGAAACATGGTGGTGGACGGAAGAGGTGTACAAAGTGGCGAAGAGAGAGACAAAAAGGGCCGCGGCAGTAGCCAAAGAGGAAGCAGTTCGAGACTGGTACGCAGAGATGGAAACACCAGAGGGAGAAAAGAGAATTTATAAAGTGGCCAAGCAGCATGCAAGAGCAAAGAGAGACATCCCAAAAATGACTGTGGTGAAGAGCGAGGACGGACGGATTCTGGCAGAGAAGGAAGAAGTGCTAAGGAGATGGAGAGAATAATTTGAACACCTGTTGAATGTAGAGAACGAATAGGAAGAGCTAACAGAACTACCAGCAGTGGAAGGTCCGATACAGCAAGTAAGCCTGCAGGAGATCTTAAAAAAGATTTGGAATGGAGAGAACATCCCAGAAGATTGGAGGACAAGTATACTAGTGCCAGTGTAGAAACAGAAAGCTGATGTATTAGAATGTGGGAACCACCGTGGTATCAAGCTCTTGGAACACCTCTTGAAAGTTGAAGAAATGATCCTGGACCAAAAGATCCGAAAAGTGGTGGATATAGGAAACATGCAGTTTGGCTTTAGACTGGGGAGAGGCACGACTGATGCTGTATTTATACCCAGGCAGCTCCAAGAGAAACATCTAGAAGGCAACAAGAACCTATACCATGCCTTTGTTGACTTGGAAAAGGCATATGATAGGGTGCCCAGAGAGCTGGTCTACTGGTGTCTACGGAAGAAAGGAGTTCCAGAGTACCTCATTAACATCGTGAAGGATACCTACGAAAGTGTAACCACAATGGTCAGAATGCCACAGGGAACATCGGAAGAATTTGAAGTGAAAGTCGGCCTTCGCCAAGGATCAAGCCTGAGTCCACTCCTGTTCATCATAGTTATCGACGTGGTGAGCGAGGAGTGTGGAGGAGGATTGCTCTGAGAAATGTTCGACGACTTGGTCATTTCATCGACGAGTGAAAAGAACTTGGAAGCACAGCTCAGGAAGTGGAAGAAGGCACTCGCGGGTCGAGGGCTAAAAGTGAACATGAAGAAGACTCTCGTCATGAGAAGTAGCAAAGGAGCAAGAAGAAAGATAAACATCAAAGAGGAGAGCGGCGCATGATCAAGTTGACGAGTTCAAGTATCTCGGCAGCATGATGGCAAGTGAAAGAGGATGTGAGAGAGCAGTGAAAGACTGTGTGAAGGGAGCGTGGGCCAAGTGGCGAGAAGTTCCTGCCGTGATGTGCGACAAAAAGTTACCAGCCAAGCTGAAGGCGAAAATGTACAAAACTGTGATAAGACCTGTGTTATTGTACGGAGCAGAAACTTGGGCCTTAAAAAAGAAAGAAGAGAGCTTGCTGCAGAGAACGGAAATGAGAATGCTGAGGTGGATGTTGGGAATCAGTCAAAGAGAGCAGAGAACAAACAAAGAGGTGTTAGCTGAAGCAGGAGTCACAAGCATTAGTAGCAAGATCGAAGAGGCAAGACTCACATGGTTCGGCCATGTGAAAAGAAGGCATGAGGAAGAAGGCATACGGAAAGCAATGGATCTGCCTATCCCTGGAAAGCAGAGCAGAGGAAGACAAAGAAAGAGGTGGCTGGATTCTGTAATGGCCGACATGAAGAAAAGGAACATCGAAGAGCAGTGGGCACAAGACCGAATGAAGTGGAGAATAGCAGTATGTGGAAAGTGACAACCCCTAAATAAGGGAAACGTCGTAGAAGAAGAAGATGGTGGAAATAAATATTATTTTATCAGAAATTAATGGTAGGTTTAGTTCTGGCCTCATGTTCACTATCCTTGCTGTTATTGGGGCGCCGAGGATAATCCTCATGGCTTCATTTTACACTACCTCCAAGTTATTTATTTCTGATTCCTTACACTGCAACAAGTGCAGTGCATAGTAGTCTACAACTGATCTTAAAGCCAAGTAAAACAGTCTAGGGGGCTTAACACTGATGCCATGTTCTCTTCCGACAAGAACTTTCAACGGTTTCAATCTCTCCCAGAGTCGTCTTTAGAGAAAGAATCAGGTCTGCATCATTTACGCTATCCCGAGATATTTATACTTATGACATTGTCAAGTTCCTGGTCACCTGTGTAAAATGTGGGCAAGGGTATGATACATGGGTTGAGAGCCATTGTTTTATCGGCGGAGATGACTAATCCACACTCATGAGCCCTTGCTGTGAGATTGTCGAGAATTATCTGCATCTTCTCTTGTGATGATGCTCTGACACATATGATTCACCATCCCCAAGTGGAATATCTGCCACCAGCTTGTGCATGAGGACACTGGACCGCATAGGGCTGAGAACTCCTCCTTGTGGCGTCCCAAATTGAAAAGATTGTGAAGTGGAACTTCTCACTCCCCTGAACAAGACATTTAAGG